CTTAGATATATCCAAATCCACTTAACCTTTCTAAAACTCAAAATTCTTTAGTAATGACATAAAAATAGCCCCCATCAGTAACTAGCTTTACACTTATTTATTTAAATGTTTATTTCCTTTTTTGGGTGGCGGGTACCAGGGATTGAACTAGGCACTAGGCCACTGAGCCACAACTCCAGCCCTATTTTCTATTTTATTTAGAGACAAGGTATCACTGAGTTGCTTAGGACCCTGAAGTTGCTGAGAACTTTGAACTCACGATCCTCCTGCCTCAGACTCCCACGCTGCTGGGATTACAAATCTGCACCACCATGGTGGACTAGATTGTACACAAACTTCACTTCCTATCTCCTATATAGCCAAATCTCAGTAGCATTTATCTTTCTGGGTGACACTCCTATAAAAATAACAGATTTGGAGCTGGGTTTGTGGCTCAGAGGTAAAGTGCTTGCCTAGTATGTGCGGGACCCTGGGTTCGATCCTCAGCAACACATAAAAATAAATAAAGGTATTGTATCCAACTACAGCTAAAAAATAAATATCTTAAAAAAAAATGACAGATGCCACTCAGTATTCTCTACACAATGACTGACATTCAACAAATACTGGCTGCAAGAATATTAAGTTGGGCAGTAACCATTAGTGAAAGATCACTAGATGTGGAATTAGTAAATCCACATTACAGCTTGGCCTCACCTCAAGTAATACGTCCTTTTTTTTAAAAAAAATTTTTTTTAAAGAGTGAGAGTGAGAGAGCGAGAGAGAGAGAGAGAGAGAATTTTTTTTTAAAATATTTATTTTTTAGTTTTCGGCGGACACAACGTCTTTGTTTTTGTATGGACTTTTTTTTAATCATTTAGTTTCAGAGTTTTATGGAACTTAATGGAGTCATATAAATAGTTTATTTTTCATTCCTTTTTTTCAGGGTTAGAGTTGGACAGAGGAAAGTTAGTAGTAATATTCAAGATAAGTCTTGGGAAAAAGTTATTGAAGTAAACAAGGGGAAAGCAGAACTGCGGATAGCAGAACACTGAAAAATGCGTGATCACAGTTTGGGAAAGTGCTATACTGAGGTCAAGGAGAATAGTTTTTTTTTTTTTTAAACAACAGAAGTATGGTGAATCTGTGAGGTTAGAGAGATGGTGGAGGAAAGGGATTCACCTATGGATGAAGAAAATGCCAAGGAGGACTGGGGTTTCTGAGCTGGAACAATGACCAGCAGGGAGATGGTCAGTGTGTCCTAATATGGAGGCAGCCAGATATGGGTGGGATAAGGGGGGAGTGCATAGTGGAGAAACCTGGGAATCTTACCGATAAGAACACGACGTTTATGTTCCATCTGAAATGGAGATCCAGGTGGAGGACTACCTAAAGAAGCTATAAGAAACAGGTATCTAGCACTTGTCCTCAACCTAAAAGACTAGATTTGGCAGGTGGCTAAAACCATAGGAGAAGATAAGTAGGGCCACTGGAAAAAACCAACATGTGAAGAAGAAATATGGAAAACACGGGGTTAGGAAGAAACTGCCCTTCTTTGGAAAGCTAATGATCTAATATCTCGTATTTGCCTCCTCTTTCTTAAGCATTCTACATAGTCGTAGCATTTTTCAACTAAGCAGCCATTTCCAAAGAAATACTCTCAATTACATTTATATAATGACACTTGAATGAAGTGAATATAAGACTATTCCACTGTATACCAAAATCCAAATACCAATGAAGAGCATATCAATAGCTTCTGGTCATTTTTTAGCTAACAATTTCCTTTATGCCTATTTCTTGAAGGTACAGGGATGGCATTTAAAATAGCTTTAAAGAAAAAGTCTAGCCAGGTGTGGTGCCTCATGCCTGCAATCCCAGCAGCTCAGGAGGCTGGGGCAGGAGGATCAGAACCAGCCTTAGCAATTTAGCAAGGCCCTGAGCAACTCAGAAAGACCTTGTCTCAAATTTAAAAGGGCTGTGGAGGGGCTGTGATTGTAGCTCAGTGGTAGAGTGCTTGTCTCACATGTGTGAGGCACTGGGTTTGATTCTCAGCACCACATATAAATAAATGAATAAAATAAAAGTCCATTAACAACTAAAAAAAAAAAAAAGGGCTGTGGAGGTGGCCCAGAAGCCTGTGGGTTTAAACCCTGTTACCCCCCCCCCCAAAAAAAAACCCCTCGAATTCTATGGACAATATATATGAGAAAGTAAAATTATATTAGACTAGCCATTAGGTTTAATAACCAAAGCCCATTTTTGGTTCCAAAGTTAATTTATTTTTTCTTTGCTATTTTATATTCCTTTCTAATCTGTCCTCACTGTCCAGGGATGGCAATAAATAAAATGAAGGTTGTCAAGGGATTTGTTTCAAAACAGTTAAACCCAGAATAAGACAGTAACAAGAGGTTTTTAAAGAGACAGTTGCTTGATTCTCGTTTAGACTAAGGCACAGCATCAAGCACGGTCATTGCTCCTTAATACAATGAGAATACTGTATTGGGGAAAAATCTGACCTTTACTTTTAATAAATCCATGAATGTTTTGCATTTGGAATGTTTAAAAGAAAATCTTACCAACTTAGAGCTCTCAGCAAAGAATCACCTCCAAAAAACATAAAGAGAGAATGGTGAATGTATGCCTTGGTGGTGAATGTATGCCTTGAAAAGCATAAAGCTATCTAGGTCATCAGCTTACTACCACTTGGTTGAAGTCCCCTTTGTTCTCTATTTCATGCTGGGGTCACACATTCTGGGAGGTAAAACCTCTCAGAAGATGCCTAAGTAAAAAAGCTGAATTCTCCAAGAAGTATTTCAAAGCACAGGCTTTGAAAGAAGACAAGCTGCTTTAAAATCCAAACTCTACCCACTCACTAGTGGGGTGATCCTAACAAGTTTCTATATATACAATGGGGTCACAGTTTTATATACCTGAAGGACTGCTGTTAAGGACTAGTGAGGCCGTTACCATGGGAAACAAACCTCAACTGGTTTCTTCTATTGTTTGTATCAATTTGAGCTCTGACACTTTATAAGGGCTACTTCCCCAGTGTATCTTAAATTATAAGTTAAATAAAAGTCAAGCTCCCGAGGCAGCAAGGTATAAATACAAATCAATCAGTACTGAGAAAAAGGTTTTATAGTTATGTCTCACCAAAAGATTTAAACAATCCAAGTTATGCTGTAATAAATTTACTTGATATTTTGTACTCAATTAGTCTAATGTTAAAGACTTAATACAGTCACAGAATGCATGCTAATAAAATTTGTTCAACCTGAGATTTAAATTAATAACATGGCTTAGTAAACACAATATTCATGTGGACTGAACATTAATAAAGCTCTTACTGATCCTCTTTAGAGTCTCAAAGTTGCATTGTTTAGAATAAAATATTCTTAACTTACTTGGGGAAATTTTTTCATAGGTTGCTGAAACATATCTGGATTAATTTAATTCAACATAAAAGTTTCCAAAAAATTGTGTAACTAAAATATCCCAGGTAATACTTTCATGTGAAATTTCAACAAATTCCAACTGAAAGCAAATAAAAAACTGTGGGATAAAGCATTGTTTTGCTTTTAAACCACTTCCTGTCCTTGTCAATCACTGCTTTACAATTACCTATGTCAAAAAGGGATTATGGTGTAAACGATAAAGTATAAAATAGGACTACTATAATAGTTTTTCACTCAATAAGAACTGTAATAAATATACTATCAGTGACAAAAAGTTTTTAACAGCTAACAACCTTTTCTCATTTCAATTTAGATCCATGTCCTTGATTTCTTATAGGAATAACAACTATACAGTTTAGACATGACTGAATTTTACAATGATGTGCATATGTCTGTGTAAAATCTTTTATGATTAAGTCTTAATTTTTATCATGACCTGGAGTTTGTTAAAATCAATTTAGAGGCCAGATGGAGACTGTCATCTGAAATGGTATGCCTCATTTGCTCTCTTGGCCCTCTTCCTTTCTTGCCAATAGGCATCACCTCTCTGAGTCTTCCACATTTTTGTTGTTTTTATCAGATGTTCTCTCTTGAATTAAAGCTTAAAGACTCAAGGGTCTACATTATAACACTGTGCATGAGTTACATGTTTGATATGAGTTAATATCAAATATATTACTCAATATCAACTCATAAGAAAAATATTGAATATGACATAATATTTGGAAATATTTTATATTTAATACAGGTAATAATATTTTATTACCTAGTTGCATCTAGTAAGTTTGACATGATCTGATGTTATGTTGGGCTTATGATGGCAGGACAATGATCTAAGAAATTAACAGTGATTTAAACTATTAGAAACTGACAGAAGAGTTACCATTGGAACACAGTAAAAGTAGTGGAAAACTTCATGGAAAATAAAGTGGAGTTTAAAAAAAATTCTACTGATGTTCTGGATAAAAACAGTGACAAAGACTTTTTCACATAAGAATCACTGATTTAGAGAAGAGTCATCTGTAAATCTATCTATGAGTTCTCTGAGTGGACCAATCTCAATCTAAAAGGAGAAAGTGAAAGGAACCAAAGGCCAAAAAGGCTTGCAGGTTTAGTCTAATAAAGAAGATAATTCAAATTGGCACGTGTTTCAGCAAAAAAGTAGAAGTTCTCGGTGTACTAGATAGGAGTCTGAAGAAATTCTGATATACTTCACTTTTTATTTGGTGGATAGGGGCACAAATAAAGACCTCCCATGAGGACATTACATCATTACAATAATTAAGAAGTGAAGAAGATATCCTCATGATCACTAAGATATTAAACAATGTCTCCTTATTTGGGGGGGGGGATGAGGAGGGTTACCGGGGATTGAGCTCAGGGACACTTAACCACTGAGCCTTGTTCTCATTAGAATCTTGCATTTTATTTAGAGACAGTTGCTTGGTGCCTCACTGTTGCTGAAGCTGGCTTTGAACTCATGATCTTCCTGCCTCAGCCTCCCAGGCCCCCGAGGTTACAGGCATGCACCACTGCACCCAGCTCTCTTTATCCATTTTTGTTTTTAATATGGAATGCTTCACTAATGCGCCTATTATCTTTGCGCAGGGGCCATGCTAATCTTCTCTGTATTGTTCCAATTTTTGTAAATGTGCTGCCGAAGCGAGCACTCCTCATCTATTTTTGAAAAATAACTTTTATTGTTGACTTACATGGCCAATAACTGGAATCCATATTACTTATTAGGGCAGCTCTAAAAACACAGAAGTAACTAGACAATGTACCATTTCAACCCTTCCACAGAATTTGTAGTGCAGCTAACATTCTTTAATGTACTTCAAATGATGGCAATCATCTGAGTTTTCTGCTTCACATTTTAAACTTCTCTGTCGTACAGGAAGAGTTTATAAAAGGTTTAAACATGAAACTGATTTTTTTAAAAAATGACCATGAGACCAAGGTAAACGTGGTGTTCAAAGATGACAAGTTGCAAGGTACACTGTTGACATGATCCAAGTGGGCCACTAAATTCCCTTCCAACACAAATGTATAATTCTAGACTCAAGGTAAGCTGTGAGAGGTGGTAATGAATAAAAGGGCTTTTTATCTGGAGTCACATCTAGGCTTGAATCTCAACTCCATCACTTTAAAGATACTGACTTCAGGCAAGCTATTCGGCCTCTCAGGAGATAAAAACAAGACTAGGTAATGGGACTCAGTGAGATAATGCATTAGTGTCTGGCTCATGGTAAACACTTAATATGTTACCTATATAATTTGTAGTGGTAAATTACAGTGGCCAAAATTTAAACATCATGAACTGACTTAGAATAGGTGATCAATTTCTACATTTGTTTCTTGCTTCTAATTGTATTTAATTTCTGATATTCTTTACAGATACTGAATTATGGGATGCTACATTCAGAGGGATTTTAATATATTTAAATATTTACCAGACACTGCAGTTATAATATCAACTAAATATAACCCTAGGGTTAGAGCTTACATTTTACATACAGAAGACATACAAATTATAGATATGGCAAATGCTAAGATAGGGCAAGATTTTAGAGGATGTTTGGGGAACAAATAATATCTAGAGTCAGGAAAAAATGTTTAATAGAGAAAGTGTCATAGCTGCGTGGAGAAAAAAAGAACATTTAAAAAATTGTTCCAAGTAGAAAGAACAGGGGGATGGGAAATAGGACAGGATGAAGAGACACTCATCAGACTGGCAGACTGGCAGCACTTTGTTCAGAGAGCTGTGGGAGATCAGGGAAATGAAAATTCAAGGAGAGCCCTAGGCTGCAGGGAACAGGTGTGAGTGCCTAGAGCACACATCTGCCTACAGCATGAAGATAAACACCGGAACTAATGTGCTCTTGGAATAAGGAACAATGCTAGAAGAGGGTATGGACAGCATCCTGAGGACTCCAAAACTATTTAGAAGGACAAACAGAAAAAAAGCCTGCCAAGGAGTCTGAGTAGAAACTACCAACAAGGTGCAAGAAGAAAAATATGAAGGGACAGTATCACAGATGTCAAAGTATCACACATCAGTCCAAATTACAAACCATTCACCTATCAGTATTAACTTTAGTTTTTAATTAAGCATTTTTAAAACTATTGAAAAGCTACTTATCAACCACAACTCCAACTATGAACATTATATATGTTCACAAAGTCAGGAAAGGAGGATACAAATGCTGAGATAGTAACTGTGTTGAAAACTTGGTCTTATTGTCCAAACTTTCCATAGTTTTAATCTTGAAAAGTCAGATATATTACTACTAAAGAAGTTAGGATACAAATGCATTATCAAGAAGAATAAAACTATGATTTTCATATTCTGATGGGACTTATGAAATTATTTGTGTATTCTTAATCATGGCACTGAAAAAATTGAGTTTCTACTTATCAGCAAACAAATTCAATTTAACTGAAAAGCAAACAAATTCTTATGGTTTTCACTTGTACTTATTTTAAGCAGTATTATTACTGTAGATTTAACTTTAAACCCTATTTGAACACACAGGAACCTTATTACAAATACTTAAATATAGGTAACAGGTTATAAGGTTTGGAGCTCATATGAGAGAAAAATTAAACAACCCAAAGGGTATGTACAAAGATTCTCGTAAGAAAACCTCATGTATCAATAGTGATTCTTTCTTTTCCCCCCTCAAATTCTTAAAATAGGCATAAAAGAGGTTTCTCAATATAATTATTCAAAACTAAGGACAAATGAGAAATTCTCATGAAGAATTCAGTAGGGAGTTTTATATCTAATAATATTTTCAACTTCTACATGGAACATTGGCAGCTCAAGGAAGTTTTTTAAAATGCCATCTAGCGTTTGCTATTTAAAAATTCTGAATATTAAGGGGTGAGTTCCTTAATGGTTACACTTAATACTAATAACATTAATATATAATATTAATATAATACTTAATACTATAGTACTATTCTAGTAAGTACTAGACCTTAAAAATATGTATATATCTAGTACACATTTGTGCTTATAACCATAAACATTAATTCTGAACATATTTTCTAATGCACAAAATGATTCTGAATAGTAAGCAACTTACAACATGTATTTTTGGCCAACACTCTAAAAGATGACATTTTAGTAGAGGATGACTCATTGCTATTTAAGTTCAAGGTAAATCAAATTTATTCACACCTTCATAAAATATAAAATCCTTTGTCTTATCACTTCAAGTAAGCCAGGGTCACTCTGCATATAAGCACTCTGAGAGTCTATGCTCCAGTCAGAAAGTCAGACCCGAATCCTAGCTCCCACTCAATGGCCACGTGACTTGAGCAAGTTACTTAACCTATCTAAGCTTTTGATTTCCTTTTCTGTTAAACTGAAGATATTGATAGTATCTAAAAGTTAAATGAGAAAATGTGCCAAAAATACTTAGCACAGTGCCTGACACATAATAACCACTCAGTAGCAAAACCGAAACTCCTTTGTGGAGAAATCCAATCAACACTTGAGCACAGGGACTGAAACTATGAAATTCCTAAGCCAGAAGCAGCTAGGCTCTGATCTGTCCCATCATTCTTATGGTTACTTAAAATAAGCTAGTCTTGGATAAATATCACTAAGAATCATTATAATTGTTGAAAATTTCTCTCATATACCACTTATGTGAGTGCCTAATCAGGCTTGTCCTTTTAGGCACAAAATATTCCCTAGCAATATTAACTGTTTTGAAAATCTGACAAATGCTCTGAACCCTTCACAGAAACCTAAACATATGAAAAATGCTGCCCCATATTCCAGAGTTTCCAATCCTGAAGCCCTATTAAATATGGATATCCTAGAGAAATTATTCTCCTTATAATCATTTATGTAGATTTGTTATAGAAAATAAAGAAAACAGAAAAGTATAAGAAACAACTTATTGGTTTGTTGTATTTCCTTCCAGACTTCAATTGATCCAAATACTAATTTAAGAAACTTTAGTTTAGAGAATATGATAAACATGAAGCTATGGAATACTATATCAGAAATAATTTAGAATATTATTCAAAAGATAGAATGGGTATGAGTGCATATAAGGAAGAAAACCCATCTCTGGTTAAGGATAAAGTTTGAAATACATACTGCCTGTTTAGCTGGGCAGGCCTTTTGCCCCCCACCCCTATTTTTTTACTGGTTCATTATAAATATACATAATGGTGGGAACTTTTTGGTTTTTTGGAAAATAAAGAACTTCAAATAATTTTTTATGGTAACCACATTTTAGTAATATTAATTCTACATATATAATAATTGGACATAAAATTTAACCCATATTATTTTTCTTCATTTGCAAAATATGGTGATTTTCAGTTTAAAATTTTAAATCTTGAGCTAAATTCTATTATTCTAAGAGCACCCCCCTCATACAGCTGTGTAAACAAAAGCAAAATAAAAATGTACACAAAACAAGTTAAAATTTATTTTTTTTCTAGGCAGAGTACAATTCTGAGAGGAATTAATTTTCAGGGTATACGAAAAAAAGTGTATTGACTTCTAATATATCATTTTCAGGTGACACTGGTATCTTAGGTGTTCTTGACGTAAAAATTTTGGGTTTATTTTAGAAACATTTAGAAGAAAATTGTCTTTTTATCAAGAAAGTAAAATCCCCAAAAGCATTAATAAAATTAATCTAAGCTATATTTTATGAAGAAATGGACTTTTTAAAAGAAAAATGATATTATTTATCAAATATCTCCTGGAATAATAATTCGAAGTATTTTGGGCTCTCCACTATGCTGTAAGCATCTACAACAGATCCAACAGCAACATTTAAAAATTTTTATGTAATTCAGGATTTCACTTTCTTTTAAAAACTGATGTATTTATTGAACACCACTGCAAAGATATGGCCTTAAGCCTCATATAATAAAGATTACATACTCCAAGTATTTAAAATTTCAAATTTTAACTTATATTTAATACTATACTCTTAGTAATACAATGTGCTCATTTTGTTCATAAATAGTCATGTCAATACAATAACATCAGGTATAATACATAAAATCTAATCCATTAAGTCTTACCAATTTATGACCTGATGAGACACTCTTGTGGACAACATTCAGTCCTTAGAAGCTAGAATAACCCTCCAACCATGTGAGGGCATCACAACTTTTAAACTTTCGGCTTTCGATCATTATTATGTCACATTCCTCCTCCGATGCTGAATTCTAAAAAAAATTCTAGCAAAGAGTTTAAGTAAATAAGTGTTTTAATAAAATAGCCTTTAAAAATCTTTTATAGCAAAATTTTATGTTTTACCATGATTACACAACTGATATTTTGTACTTAATATTTTTAAATGTAAAGTAATTTCATATTTGATTTGGTTACTTTGAACTTTAAATTTCAACATGGACTTTCAAAGCCATCAGGAATACTTGTTAGTGAAGACTCAACTAGAAATGGAACCAATTAAAGGTTTAAGATCATGATCCAGAAATTATGATTTAATACCACATAATCTGATGTAGAAAGTTTTGTGGTCCTATAGAATGGCATTTGAGTTATACTTTGGGTCCACATCCACAGAAGAGATTTTAGAATTAGAGCTGGATCAGTTATGATATATGTGAATCATTAAATGCTTACAATAGCATTTGATTTTTATTCTTAAATCTGAATCTGTCT